CCGTCCTCCTCCAGCCTCCTCGCCGTCTTATGTCCGCTCGTCCTCCCTACATCCTTGCCCTTCTTATTGTCCTCCTCCTCGTTCTACTTGGTCCTTCTCATCCTCCTCCTCCTACTCCTCGTTTTTCTGCTTCCCTCCCGCCCAGTTGGCGACCCCCATGCGCCCGAGGATCGAGTGCCTGCGCGCGGAGCTCCAGGAGAGCGAGAACAGGAGCTGCCGCCGCGGGGGTGGGCGTGAGCAGGATGGCGGGAGCGGGAGGAAGGAGGAGGAGGAGGAGGAGGAGGAGGAGGAGGAGGAGGAGGAGGAGGAGGAGGAGGAGGAGGAGGAAGGGGGAAGGGGGGTGAGCGACAGGGAGCGTGTGCTCGCGCACTCGCGCGCCGCCACTTGGCGACGAGGCGAGCGCGGCTCCCAGGCGGCCCAACTGCCTCGCACGGAGCGAAGTCCAGCTCCCTGCGAGCGGGCACGCGCGCGGGGGGCTCTTGCCCCACTGCGAGCGCCCTATCTGGGACAGCGTCCACGCCTGCCCTTTGCCCAGGGTCTCGACACCAACGCACCCCACCTGGGGGTTCGCGCCCAGACCCAGGGGAGGAGGAGGAGGAGGAGGAGGAGGAGGAGGAGGAGGAGGAGGAGGAGGAGGAGGAGGAGGAGGGGGGTCTTTAGGAGATTGTAGACGCCCTGGGGGGGGAGCGGGGGGGGAGGGACCGAGGTAGCCCGAAGATAACCATCGTGACTCGGCCATCGCTTGACGGAGCAAGAAGTGGAGAAGCACGAAGGAAAGAACCCATGAGGGGGAAGCAAGAACCTCCACCTCCTCCTCTTAAGTATGGAAGGTAGCCAGCGTGACTCGAGGGAGAGAATAACAAGGGAGGAAGCCAGCGCGGGAGATGCGAGAGGTGGTTCTTGGTTGGCCAGGCTTGCACCTCCCTGCCCGACGCGATGCGAAATGCGAAACGGAGATGCGAAGCTTCGCATCAGCCCCGTTGGCTTTGCAACGGCCACGAGTCAAACCGAATCAGGCCCACCCTCCAATCGAAGGGGGGGTGCTCGCAGGGAGTGAGCTTCTCCCTTCGCGAGTCTTGCAGGGCAAGTTTTGCCTGCTGCAGCGGGTTGTATGCACTCCTTGAGATATGGGGAGGGACCAATGGAGTAGGCCGCAGGATTGAGATGGAGCCAGATGTTGGGAGAGAGAGGGAGGGACGTAAAGAGAGAGAGAGGGAGCGATAGAGAGAGAGAGAGAGAGATACAGTGAGGAGGGAGGAGGAGGAGGCGGAAGACGAGGAGGTGAGAGGCAAGGAGGAGCACGACGACGCTGATGAGGATGGGGGGACGATGGTTTTGATGGTCATGGTGGCGATTATGACGATGCTGGTGATGCTGATGACGGCGATGATGACGGTGCTGATGACGATGATGATATTGCTGATGCTGCTGATGATGATGATGATGATGATGATGATGATTATGATGGTGATGATGGTGATGCTGATGGTGATGGTGATGATGCTGCTGATGATGATGAGGAGGATGAAGTGGATGTGATGGCGGAGCCGAGCGCACGCTGCTGGAGTGCAGAGGGGCAGATGGTTGTGAGACACTCGAGGGCTGAAAGGCAAACAGTTAGCGACGCCGTCTGGAAGCGAAGCAGGCAACAGCGGGGGTGGGCGTGATTCCTATATCGCCGCTTGTGTGCAGGGATGGCCCCCGTTCACCTCTCCTCCGCTCATGGTGCTCGTCGTCGGCGTGCATCTGGTGGCGGCCCTCTGAGCTGCAGCCCCCCACATTCTTCCTGTAGCGCCCCCGTACCTCGGGGAGGGCGACAGCGACTTCCAGAAGCGAAAGCGTAGGTCGCCCAGAGCTGGCTTCGAAGAGCAGAACAACTGCATGAAACATAAACTTTTACTTGTCCGCGCGGATTTCTCGGATCGGACCCCTTGACGGCGCCTCTGGTGCCGCTTCTAGCGCGCTCCGCGCGGCAGGGAGGGGGGGTCGGCGCAGATCCAAGAAAAATCCGCGCGGACCGTCGACAGATTATGTTTTTGCTGCTTGTTGTTCCACCATGGTTGTACACCTGAGGCGATGCTTAAGAAAACTTAAGTTTTCGGCCAGAGTCTCGTTTATTCTTAACGTTTCAATGTAAATCCTAAGATTTGGATAGAATTTTTGGGTTTTTATTCAAATTCTGAGACTATGAATTTCTTAACCCATGATTTCTTAAGCATTTCGCAGGGTGTAGTAGTCGGAGGAAGCTGATCCGTCTTGGAACTGGCGCATTTGTGCTCTACTCGAGAATGTCGCGTTCAGCTTTGTACCCGAAGGGATCGCGACCTGGAGATGGCTGGCCTGCGTGTGGGCCGGTGGGGCCCGTCTTCAGGCAAGTGCTTCGTAGGCGTTGCGACGGCGCAGGGTCGCGGGAGAATGGGGGGGTAGGTGGTGGGATGGGGGATGGAGGGAAGGGAGAGGTTGGGCGGCACTGAGCGGAGGGATGGGGAGGGGGGGTCAGATGACGATGGTGATGAAAATGATGATGTTGTTTATGACGATGCTGGTGCTGATGATGCTGTTGTTGATCAGAAAGACGATGGCAGTGCTGCTGCGGATGATGCTGCAGCTGCTGATGCTGCTGCTGATGCTCGTGGTGATGATGATGATGGTGGTGATGATGATGGTAACGACGACGATGCGAACGGTGTGGTAATGATGGTGATCATGATGTCGATGGTGTTGAGGATGAGACTGATAATGACGCTGATGATGCTGATGTTGTTGGTAATGATGATGATGATGACGATGATGATGTTGATGTTGCTGCTGATGGTGAACATGATGAGGATCTGATGCTGATGGTGATGATGGTGATGCATGTAGTGCTGGTGGTTATGCTGGTGGTGGTTCTGGTGATGTTGATGGCGATGCAGATGGTGACGATGATGACGACGATGCTGGTGATAATGATGATGATGCTGATGCTGATTATGATGGCAGTGGTGCTGATTATGTTGATGAAGTTGATGATGCTAATGCTGAGAATGATCATGATGATGATACAGTGGCCGTTGTAGCGCAACGGTGGGACGCCACGCATCAAAACAAAAGGCTGAAGCTTGAGCTTAAGCTTAAAATTTGGATTCCGCGTGCGAGGCGAGGCGAGACGCGTGCGAGGCGAGAGCGGGTTGGGGACGTCCAGGGAGTGTCTGAAGCCCACGGCGCCAACGACCATGATCATAATTCAGTTGTGTGTTGCATTGCAGTTTTTTTTGCGTTGCTTTTTTTTCGCATTGCAGCCTCGCTGTTCTAGCTTCAGCTTTGGATCCCGCGTGCGAGGCGAGGGCGGTTTGGGGAGGTCCAGGGAGGGTCTGAAGCCGACGGCGCCAACGACCATGATCAGGATTCCAGTGTTGTTGCATTGCAGTTGTTTTGCATTGCAGTTCTTTTTGAATTGCAGCTTTGCCGTTCTAGCTTCAGCGTTGGATCCCGCGTGCGCGGCGAGAGTGGTTTGGGGAGGTCCAGGGAGTGTCTGAAGCCCACGGCGCCAACGACCATGGTCAGAATTACAATGATTTTGCATTGCATTTGTTTTGCATTGTTTTTTTTGCATGGCAGCTTCGCCGTTCTAGCTTCAGCTTTGGATTCCGCGTGCGAGGCGAGAGCGGTTTGTGGAGGTCCAGGGAGGGTCTGAAGCCCACGGCGCCAACGACCATGATCAGACTTACAGTTTTTGTTGCATTGCATTGTTTTGGCATTGCATTTTTCTTTGCATTGCAGCTTCGCCGTTCTAGCTTCAGCTTTGGATTCCGCGTGCGAGGCGAGAGCGGTTTGTGGAGGTCCAGGGAGGGTCTGAAGCCCACGGCGCCAACGACCATGATCAGACTTACAGTTTTTGTTGCATTGCATTGTTTTGGCATTGCATTTTTCTTTGCATTGCAGCTTCGCCGTTCTAGCTTCAGCTTTGGATTCCGCGTGCGAGGCGAGAGCGGTTTGTGGAGGTCCAGGGAGGGTCTGAAGCCCACGGCGCCAACGACCATGATCAGACTTACAGTTTTTGTTGCATTGCATTGTTTTGGCATTGCATTTTTCTTTGCATTGCAGCTTCGCCGTTCTAGCTTCAGCTTTGGATCCCGCGTGCGAGGCGAGAGCGGTTTGGAGAGGTCCAGGGAGGGTCTGAAGCCCACGGCGCCAACGACCATGATCAGAACTGCAGTTTTTTTTGGCATTACAGTTTTTTGCAATGCAGTTTTGTGCATTGCAGTTTCGCCGTTCTTGCTTCAGCTTTGGATTCCTCGTGCGGGGCGGCAGCGGTTTGTGGAGGTCCTGGGAGGGTCTGAAGCCCACGGCGCCAACGACCATGATCAGACTTACAGTTTTTGTTGCATTGCAGTTTTTTGCACTGCATTCGTTTTGCAATGCAGCTTTGCCGTTCTAGCTTCAGCTTTGGATCCCGCGTGCGAGGCGAGAGCGGTTTGGGGAGGTCCAGGGAGTGTCTGAAGCCCACGGCGCCAATGACCATGGTCAGAATTACAATGATTTTGCATTGCATTTGTTTAGCATTGTTTTTTTTGCATGGCAGCTTCGCCGTTCTAGCTTCAGCTTTGGATTCCGCGTGCGAGGCGAGAGCGGTTTGTGGAGGTCCAGGGAGGGTCTGAAGCCCACGGCGCCAACGATCATGATCAGAATTGCAGTTTTTTGTTGTATTGACATTTTTTGTTGCACTGTTTTTTTACATCGCAGTTTCGCCGTCTTAGCTTCAGCGTTGGATTCCGCGTGCGAGGCGAGAGCGGTTTGGGGAGGTACTGTTTACCAGTTGCCAGAGACTTTAGCACGCTCTGGCCTATTGGACCGGCAACTTAAGGTTTTAGACGGGTTTCGGCCTCTTGGAGGCCTCTCGGGGCGCTCTTGAAACCATCTTGAAGCCATCTGGGGCCACTCTTGGGCTTCTCTTGGGCCATCTTGGAGGCCATCGACCAACAAAGAAGCCGGCGTCAATTTGGACCCCCCCGTCGGAATCCCCCAAAACGCCTCTTGGAGCCCTTTTGGGACGCTCTTGGGGCGGTCTTGGGCGCTCTTGGGGCCGTCTTGGGCCTCTCTTGGACCTTCTTGGGGATCTCTGGGTCCATCCCGGAGCCATCTAGAGGCTTTAGACGCCCATCGGAAGCGAAAAGGGGCGAAGGCAAACAAAAACATGGACTTCTATTAGGTTTTGGGCGGTTGTTTGCCTCTCCAGGGCGTCCTTGGGAGGCCCATTGGCCACTTAGAGCGGGATCTTGAAGCCTCTTGGAGGTCTGTTGCAAGCTATAGTTGGCCATGTTGGGCTATCTTCAGCGATCTTGGAGGCCATATTTAGTTCTTTGGGGCGTCATTGGAGCCATCTTGGGCAATCTTGGACGCTCTGACCGCTCGCGAAAGGTCCCGTCCAGGTCTAGGAGGGGTGCACCGAAGAGTAAGAAGGAGGTTGGAAGAGGGGGGTATCAAAACCACTCACGCCCTGAAGGGCTGGTGGGATTTTCGTCCCCTCCTCTGGGACCGTCGAAGTCGCCTCGTGGGGCCATCTGGGGCCCCTCTTCGTCGCTTCTTGGAGGCCTCTTGCGGCGTCCTGGGCGTCTCTTGGCAGTCCCGGGAGCCTCTTGAAGCGTCGTGGCTGCCTCTGTGGGGGGGAGAGGCACGTGAGGCCTCTTGAGGGCCTCTCTGCGACCGCTTGGTAGTCTTTGCAAGCCTCCTGGGGGTTTTCTTGAAGTCCCCTGGGCGCCTCTTGGGGCCCTCTTGGAAACCCAGGGGTGCCTCCTGGGAACATGAAAGAAGGAGAAGGCAAAACAAGTAGAGAGCCCAGAATGAGAAACTAGTTAGAGAGACGCGGCGGCTGCCATATCAGTTCTTCTGCCCCTGAGCAAAGTAAGGCGCTTTGCCATAATAACTTTTGGCTTCAAACGGTTTAGGATGATGTTAATGCTGATGATGACGACGATGACGATGACAATGACGATGATGCTGATGATAATGATGCTGATGATGATGAGGATGCTGATGATGATGCTGATGATGGCGATGCCGATGATGAGGGGGAGGAGGAGGAAGAGGAGGAGGAGGAAGGTGGTGGTGGTGGTGGTGGTGACGACGACGACGATGACGATGATGAGTTGTCTTCCAGTCCGAGGCCAATGACCCAGAGAGGGAGGATGGGGACCGAAGAGCGGCGGCAGGGAAACGGGAGCAGGAGCAGGAGGATGATGAGCATGAGGATGAGGATGACGAGGAGGAGGGGGAGGGAGGACGAGGGAGAGGGAGAAGAACGAGGACGAGCAGGAGGACGACGACGAAGAGGAGGAGGAGCACGAGGATTGGAGGAGGAGGAGAAGGTGGAGGAGGAGGAGGAGGAGGAGGAGGAGGAGGAGAAGGAGGAAAAAAGGGGGAGGAGGGGAACGAAGATGAGGAGTTGGAGGAGGACGAGGAGGTGGAGGAGGAGGGAGGAGGAGAAGGAGAAGGAGGACGAGGAGGAGGAGGAGGAGGAATAGGGGAGGTTGAGGAGGAGGAGGTGGAGGAGAAGGAGGAGGAGGAGGAAGAGGCAGGAGGAGGAGGACCGAGGAGGAGGACGAGAAGGAGTTGGAGGAGTAGCTGGAGGAGGAGGACGAGGCGACGACGACGGAGGAGGAGTTCGAGGACGAGAAGGGGGGAGGGGCGCAGCACGAAGACGGGCGGAGGAGGAGGAGGAGGAGGAGGAGGAGGAGGAGGAGGAGGAGGAGGACGTGGCCTTCGAGGACCGTCTCCGCCGAGGCGCAGCTCGAGGTCGAACGAAGCACGGGGCGGCGCGAGGCCCCAGTTCCGCCCCAGCCCGCCCTGGTTGCTCCTTGCCTGTCCACCCGGCCTCCCCGCTAAGCCGTTCCTTCCTCCTCCTCCTCGTCCTCCTCCTGCCTCCCACTCCCTTCTCCTCCTCCTCCTCCTCCTCCTCCTCCTCCTCCTCCTCCTCCTCCTCCTCCTCCTCCTACTCTTCCTCCTCCTCCTCCTCCTCCTCCTCCTCCCTCCTCCTCCTCCTCCTCCTCCTCCTCCCCGTCCTCCGATTGAACTGCTGCCGCCGCCCACAGGCGCGGACTTCCCAGCATACCCCAGCATACTCCTTGCTCAGCCTCTGGGCCCTGCAGAGACCCCAACCTGTTACCTTCCTCTTTTCTCGGCGATATCCTCCTCGTCCTGCGCATCCCCCTCTTCCCCCGTCCTCCTTCTCGGCGTCATCGCTCCCCCTACCCTAATCCTAGTAGCACAGGAACACGTGGCCTCACTTAGGTTCCAGTCAGTTGCATCGGGTCATATATATATATATATATATATATATATATATTTATATATGTATACATACGTAAAGGTATGTGTATAATATATATATATATTATATGTCGGCGGTGCGCCGTGGCACGAACCCCCCCCCAGCACTACCGGGGGGTTTCGTGCACTACCGGGGGGTTTCGTGCAGCCCGCACCGGGTGCCGCCAGCGGCTTAGAACACCCCCCCTTGCCGCTTTACCGGGGGGGTTCGTGCAGGCCGCACTGCGTCTACCTGGGCCCCCCCCCCCCTGTGGGAGTGGGGGGGTGGGAGTGGGGGGTGGGTTGGGGGGGGGCAGGGGGGCGGTTGGGAAGGGTGGCTCCCTGTCGAAGTGTGGCGTGTGCTCGCCTTGTGTTCTCTATTCGCGTCTGCTCGCCTTTGTTCCGCCGCAGCCTCTCGTATTGTGGCTCGTGGCCACAATACGAGAGGCTGCAGCGCAACTCCCGAGAGCCGCTGTGGGGGGTCGACGGCACGGCCGCGTAGAGAAGAACAGTGCCGCCGTGTTCCGGCACGGCCCTGGGATGCAATGCCGCCGCCGTGTTCCGGCCCGTCCTGGTAAGATTCGCGCGTCGGGGCTGGGTTTCGCGCGTGCTGGGAGCGCGCCGCTTACGGAGGGGTTGCGTCCTTACCGGGGGGGTTCGTGCAGCCTACCAGAGGAGGTCGTGTTTACCGGGGGGGTTCGTGCAGGCTCGCACCGGGAATGGCGCCAGCTCGAAACCCCCCAGGAGAGATTACCGGGGGGGGTTTCGCTCCGCACCGGGCACCGCCGACATATATATAATATTACATATATATATATATATATATTATATATATATGTCAGGGCGGTTTGGTTCGATATATCTGCAGAACAGACCCCCTATCCCTAATGTTCTGGCCCTCCTAGCTCAGGTCCCCTTCCAAATTGATGGGGTCCCTTTCTTCATAATAACTTTGTAGACGGCCCCCCATCCGGGCCGGTCCATTCTACATGGACGCTGCGTCGTCGACGCTGCAAAATGTGCGGCAGGAGCGGGAAGGAGAGCGCATCCCGCGCGAAAGGGTGACATGTCGTTATCGGCTCAGGGCCGCGCTCAGTTCTCCCTGGGAATTACGGTTCCACGCTTTGGTCTGCAGGCGGTTCCGCGTCCTGCACGCCCCTGTCAGTGCCGCCCCGGGCGGGCTTTCGAGGGCAAGGTGGCGCGGTTGAAGTCGGGGGGGGGGGGGACGGGGGGGGAAGAAACTATGGTGCATTGTATAAGGTGCCGTCGGCGCGATGCAAGCGACGTGGTGCAATCTGTGTTGCGTAACTCATACCTGCTCGCAGTGAGTTGTCAACTGCGCTGTTCGCGCTGCCATCCGACCCGCCCGCCCACAACTTGGTTGGCAGAACCCATGCTGCGGCGATTGCGATTAGTGCGTGGCGTTGGCCGGCGCATCTCTGCGGCCGCGCTCGCCCGCGCATGCTCGCAAGCGCAGCGGCCGGCCAGTTTGGCGCGACCGATGCGGCCGCGGCGGCGCTGTCCGCCGGGCACTTGTCAGCGGGCGCATCAGCGCGAGTCGGCGACATGGGCGGGCGCGGTATCGTGGCGGCGTCGACAACAATAGACACGGACAAGGCGGCGGCGACGCTGGTGGCGGCGATGACTGCGTCGACGGCAAGGCCGCTGACGGCGCCGATGCTGATCGCGCCGACAGATGACAGCGCCCACGCGTCGGCATGGAGGTTTGGACAGAGTTCGGCGCGCGCGCGCGGCCGACTCGCGAGAGGGGCTCGCGCTGTATTATTTGACGCGAATCGCGCTCCCCCCCAGCGGCACGCGCGCAAAGGGCGTTCATACACCGCACTCACATCTATACCCCTGGGTGGGTGTATGTGCGGCCGTTTTTGCGCTGTCATGTGCGCGCATGTGCGCGGCATGTGCCAGTCATGTGCCAGGCCTGTGCGGCCCGTCTTGGATGGACTTCCTACTGTGCACGTCGTGCCCGGGCATGTGCGGGGGCATGTGCGCTGTGTTTTGATGTATCCATCATACGCACATGCACGCACAGTCCGACGCACATGCGCGCACATGCCTGCACATGCGGGAGGTGTTCGAGAATCGCAGATCTGTCATGGGCACATGCACGCACATGCCTGTGCAACCTCTCTTCGGGAGGCCGCGCGGGCCCGCACATGCACGCACATGCGGTGAAGCGCGCGGGCGCACATGCGTGCACATCCCAATGCACATGCACGCTCATGCCCTAGAATCTGTCTGAGACCCTTGTGCCTCCAATGCCTCCTGGCCTTCGCAGAGCTAACATGGGGCGTGCCAGGGCTTCCTGAAAGAGTTTGTTGTGCGTTTAGACTCGCCCGCTGCTGGCGGGGGCGGTTCTTCGCCCGGTTTGTGAGCTGGCGGCGGCGTGCCCTCCTAGTAAAACGCTCTCCCGCGCGCCTTCTCAGCTCGGCCGGAGAAGCAGGGGGGGGGGGTGGAGGGGGGGGGGAGGAGGGGGGGCGGAGGAGGCGGACGCCCCTGGCTCGGCCGGCCCGCCCGATTGTTCGGCTCGGCCAGACGAGCAGGAGGAGGAAGAGGAGGAGGAGGAGGAGGTGGAGGAGGAGGAGGAGGAGGAGGTGGTGAGAGTCGCGAGGATGTCTCAGGCGAAAATGGCTTGAAGGCCCGAGCTCAGGGAATCTCGGAATCGCTGGCCCGGCTCGGCGAGGTCGGCATGTGCGAATACTGTGCGTACCTGTGCGGGGCATGTGCGGGGCATGCAAGAATGCCGGGGCCGGCGTTCGTCTCCGGGCGCCGGCGCGTTCGCGTCCGCGCGCAAGCCGCGCGCGGACGAGCGTTCGCTTGATTGCGCGGCCCCGACAGACGGGGCGCCCCACTCACGCTCCGCACAGGCGCGCGCAGCGCTCTCCCCGCCCGCGTTCGCCGGCAGGAGCGGCACGCCAGAACAATGCTGGAACGACCAGGTGCACAAGGCATTACTGCACCACCTTCACAAGGCTTTGCGCGAGGTCGTGGGGCAGCACCCGATCTTACGAATGGGTCAGCCACTGTCGCGTGACACGTCCTCGCAACCCTGATCTCAATGATGCCCTGCTCGATAGTGTCTCGGCCCCTTTCGCTTGAGACATTCTCGGTACTCTGGGTTCCGAGACGCCCTGAGCTGAGGTGGTTAGACCACTTTCGCTTTAGAATCCTCGCCCGAGATGCCCTGAGTTTGAGGTGTTCAGGCCACTTTCGCCTGACGCATCCTCACAACTATGACCTCAATGATGCCCTGCTCCATAGTGTCTCGGCCTTGTACGCCTGAGACCCTCGCAACTCTGGGTTTCGAGATGCCCTGAGCAGGTGGTCAGGCCACTCCTGCCTGAGACATCCTCGCAACTCTGGGTTCCGAGACGCCCTGGGCTGAGGTGGTCAGACCACTCTCGCCAGAGGCATTCTCGCAACTCTGACCTCAGAGATCTCTTGCCCCATGGTGGTCAGGCCACTTTCGCCTGAGACATCCTCACAACTCAGACCTCGGAGGTGTCCTGCCCCATGGTGGTCTGGTCACCTTGACCAGCGACATCCTCGCCACTCTGGTTTCCAAGATGCCTTGCCCCATGGTGGTCCGGCCACGCTTGCCTGAGACATCCTCGCAACTTTGGGTTGCGAAATGCCCACTGTCGCCTGCGACATCTCTGCGGCATTTGCTGGCATGTGCGTCTATGCTTTCAGAGTTTTGCTTGACCTTGCATTCGAGTGTGCGTCGGACGGTGTGGCATGTGCGCGCATGTGCGGCAATGCTGTTAAGGCTTTTGTATATTTGCATGGGCATGTGCATGCGACTGTGTGGCATGTGCCTGCATATGCGGCCCCTTCCGGACCACAATTTCAAAGTGAGCACTATAGAAGTGAGCGCTATAGAAGTGAGTCCGGTGTATCATTTCGACATGCGGCCTGTGGCCTGTTTGGCGGAATTGACAGGTTGAAGAGCCTCTCGATTTCTTTTGAAATCACGCGCAACAGCGCGAACGCAGACATTTTTGAGAACTGTCGTTGCAAAACTGCCTGCGTTTGATATTTTTGTTGTTTCTGTTCTTTTTTCTCCCCCCCCCCCCCGGGCACTGGATGGCGAGCTCCCTGCGCGACCCGAGAATTTTGAAGGGTGCCCGCGCGCGCGACGACGCGCGCGCGCGCCGTTTCGTTGCAAGGGATTCCCGCGGCAGCACGGCAGCGCGCGCGCATGGGCGTTCGAGCGAATAGTTGACATGCGAGCGCGAATGATAGGTTTGGCAACAGTGGATGAACATGTTGAGCAATGTGAGATTTGTGGGGGATCCTCAGGAGCGCGGGCGAAGGTTGTTTTTTTGTAAAGATACGGTTGCCAAGGTGCAATTATATATACACACACACACGAGAAAGAGGTGTCCAGCACAGTCGATCTGGAATGTTTTACGACGCCCGTTGTTATCGGGCGATTTCGGCATGCGCGCGCGACGACGCGCGCGCGCACTTGGTCCCATTCTGCTGCCGCGGATCTGCCCGTGACAGTTATGAGTTGCGACGGGAGCGCGCGCGTCGTGTTTCTGCGCAGAGGATGAGGGAAGATGGCCTGTTTGGCTGGGGTGGAGAGGAATTGCAGTTTAGACGGGCGACGGGGCCGGATCATGCGTAACTTGCAATGCGCGAAGGGGCGCCGTTAAGTCGGGGGGGAGGGGGGGCATTGTTTCCTTCGTTTGGGATGGAGAACGTACGTCGCGCAATATTTGTGGAGCAATATTTGTGGCGCTGTTTTTTTTTTTTTGCGAGTTGGCGCATCCCGTGCTCTCTGCCCACATCTTGGTTTGCAAAGCCCACGCGGGTGCGATGTATGCTTGACGTTGGCTGGCGCTTCTTTGCGGCTGCGCCGACCCTAGCGCGCGCAGCGGCTGGCTACTTTGGCGCTGCCGACGCGGCCGCGGAGGCGCTGACCGCTGGGCGCCTCCCAGCGGGCACTTCAGTGCGAGTCGGTGACTTGGGCGGGCGCGGTATCATGGCAACGACGGCGCGGGTAGACGCGACGATGATAGTGGCGATTCTGGTGACGATGTTTGCACCGACGAAGGCGCGGCCAGTGCGGGCGCCGATGCTGATCGCGCCGACGACGATGACGGCGCCGTCGCGTCGGTGATGGAAGTTTTGGAAAGAGTTTGATACGCGCGCGCGACGCGCGAGAGTGGCCCGCATGGTTCTGTTTGACGCGGGTCGTGCCCCTCCCCCTCCCCCCCCATCGCGCGCGCAAGGGGCGCGCGAATGATGTCGGCATGCGGCGCCAGAGGCCCGCTTGGCAGAACCCCACGAACATGTTGATGCACCTATGGTTTTCTGATTTCTTTAGGAATTCGCAAGGGCGTGCGCGAGCTTTCTTTTTTATATCAGTTACAAGCGGATGTTGCGAAACCGTGTGTTTTTTGAATGTTGTTTGGGCGATCGGTTTTGGCAATCGGTTTTTGCATCGCTTCGAATTCGATTTGTTTTTCTTCCGGATTTCGGCATGCGCGCGCGACGACGCGCGCGCGTGCACTCCGTCCCGTTTTTTTGCAAGGGACTCGCGACGGAACGCGCGCAAGGGCGTTCGAGCGATTTCGACACGCACGCGCGCGAAGCCCGTGTGGTAGCAATGCTTGAACATGTTGGAAACACATGTGTTTGTATATTTGTATATATATATATATAATCATAAGATAAAGCAACAGCGCACACATTTTTTTGAACATCCGTGTTGCGAAGCCATTTGTCTTTATATGTTTTTGGGCATTCGCTTGTGAAGCCGCTCCGACATCGAAGTTTTTGTTGAAGGATGTCGGCATGCGCGCGCGACGACGCGCGCGTGTGGATTTTTTTTGAAGGTTTATGGCAGTTGATAAACGAGTGCGCGTGCATACTTTGAACGCTGATGATGACGGACGGGGCGGATACCGGTTGAGCTGGGATGGTGCGAAGCCATATTTCGGATGGGCGATGGGGCAGAGCCGTATGTAAATTGCACTACGAAAAGGGGGGTCGATAATCTCGGGGGGGTAAGGTCGATTTGTCTTAGAAAGGAGAATCTACATGGTGCAATTGATTTCTATTCATAATTTGACACATCCCACGATCTTGCAAACATCCCACCCACCCACCCGCAACTTGGTTTGCAAAACCTCTTACGACCGACTACGACGACACCGACGACAACGACTACGACGACACCGACGACGTCTCCGACGACTTCGACGACGATGACAACGACGCCGACGCCGACGACGACGACGAAGACGACGACGACGTCGCCAACGAAGACGACGACGAGGGAGGAGGGAGGACGACGACGGCGACAACGACGACAACGACGACAACGACGAGGGAGGAGGGAGGACGGTGACGACGCGAACGACGAAGAAGGAGGAAGGACGGCGACGCCGACGACGACAACGACGAGGGAGGAGGGAAGACGACGACGACGACGACGACGACGACGACGACGGCGACGAAATAGGAGGGACGACGACGCGACGCCGACGACGGACGACGACGACGACGAGGGAGGAGGAGGAGGAAGGACGACCAAGGCGACAACGACGACGGAATCGACCACGACGCCAAAGAGGACGACGACGACGACGAACACGAGGAAAGACAGAGGACGACGTAGGCGACGACGACGACGACGCGGGAGGAGGGAGGACGGCGACGACGACGACGACGCAAGAGCGCGCGCGCACGCTTTTGTTGAAAATCCGTGTTGCCAAACCTTGTGTTTTTGTATGTTTTTTTGGACACACGATTGTGTAGGTTCTGAAGGTTTTCTGCATACGCGGGCGACGACGCGCGCGTCTGCACTTAGTCCCATTTTTGCAGAGGGTTCTCGCGACGGCACACGCGCAAGGGCGTTTGACAGATTTCGACATGCGCGCGCGAAACCCGTTTGATAGCATTGCGTGTGGCAATCTTGAAAAACCGATGGGCTTGTTAAGATTTCACAAGAGCTCGCGCGGAAGTTGTTTTAGCAAGTCAGTGTTGCGAAACCATGTGTTGTTGTATGTCTGTTTGGACACTCGATTGCGAAATCTTTCCGGCACCGAAGATTTCTGAAGGATTTCGGCATGCTCGCGCGACGACGCGCGCGTGTGCACTTTGTCCCATGTGTTGCAAGGGATTCGCGAAACAGTTGTATGTTAGAACAAACAATGTCCCCGCGTATCGTTTTTTACAAGGGACCCTCCGGGATGGTTTAAACTCATATTTAGGATGGACAGATGGCCATAATCATATATGATTTACATATCCGAAAGGGGGGCGGATAACGCCGGGGGGGGTAGAGTCTATTCTCTTCTTAGAAAGGCGAATCCAGGTCGTGAAACAATTGTTGTGCAATCTGTGTGGCGCAACCGACGTGATACAGTCTATGTTGTGCAAGCTACGTGGTACAACTCTGCGGTGGTATCGGCGTGGTGCAATCTAGGCGGCCCTTCTACATGGTGCAATCTATGTTGTGCAATCTTGGGGATGCAATCCATGTTGTACTATCTGGGCGGCGACGGGGCGGCGACGGGGCGGCGACGAGGCGGCGACGGCGAGCACGGAGCCGCCAGACGGCCCCCCGAGCCCAGACGACCAGCGGCGACGAGACACGAGGCGGCGAACGGAGCAGCGAGACCCAGGCCCAGACGACGGGCGGCGACGGGACGGCGACGAGGCGGCGACGGCGAGCACGGAGCCGCCAGACCGACACTTCCTTAGTATAGGAGCGAGCAACCCTAAGTGCAAACACCGTGTGGGGAATATCCCTTCCCTGTCATAGCCTTACCTCTAGTCGGACTCCTCGCCCTTTCCGCGTCCTCCTCCCCCTTGTTGTCTCTCCTTACGGTTTCTTCCAATCCTTGTTTTCTTCCTTCACATTTTCTTCGCGGTCGTCATCATCGGCGTCGCTGTCGTCGCCGCCACTTCCTCCGTCGTCGATAACGGCCTCGTCCTTCTCTTCGTGTTCGTTGTTTCCTCACCCTCCTCGCCCTGATCCCCCGCTCCCCCACCCCAGTTCCCATCCTCCTTCCTCTACTTGCCCCCCCCTCCTCCTCCTCCCTTCTCGCCCTCCCCGCCATCCCCCACCCATTCCCGCCTCCCTTTCGTCCTCCTCGCTCCCCCTCCCCGCTCCCGTTCCGCCTCGTCCTCACTTTTCGTCGTGCCCCTCCTCCTTCTCATCTTCTTACCATGTCTGTCTGTTCCTCTTCCTCCTCCTGCTCCTCGTGCTCCTCGTGCTCTTCCTCCTCCTCCTCCGCCTCATCCTCCTCTTCCTCCTTTGCCTCCTCGCCCTGCTCGCATTCCCCCCCCCGCTCCACTCCCAATCCCCCTCCTCCTCGTCCTTCCTCTTCACCTCGCCACCCCCCCTTCCTCCCCCTCGCGTTCCCTCGTCACCTCGTCCCCCGAGAAACCGCGAAGAGCCGATGCGGCGATACGCCGCCCCCCCCCCCCCTGTGCCAGGCGACGGCCGCCGCCGATGCGCACGCCGCCCAGGCCGAGCAGCAGGAGGGGCGATCGGTGGGGCCCCCAGGGCTCCTCCTCCTCCCGCCTCCCGCCTCCCTCCTCTCGCCACCTGCCCCTCCCCCCGCCTCCCACCTCCCTCCTCTCGCGCCTCCTCCCCCCTCCCCCCCCTCCTCCCGCCTCCTGCCTCCCGCCTTCTCCCGCCCGTCTCCTCCCCCTCCTCCCTCCCGCCTCCTCCGCCCTCGCCCCCGGAGGGCGGAGGAGGGGGAAAGAGGGGGGGGGGGGAAGGGAGGAAGGGGCTGGCCCCCCTCCTCTTGGCGCTCCCTGCGTGCGAAGGCGGGCCGCCCCCCTCGTGGCCCCCGGGCGCCGGCACCC